GTCATCTAAGGCACCCAACTACTCTCTCAAGCTAGAGGGATTACTTGAATCATGAATACAACCTACTCTCGTGGTTACAAAGCATAAAGCAAGTGTTAAAGCATAATCACGATGACATAAACATTCCCTTGACTGGAAATTTCTATTCTCATGGCATTTCAAGTCAATTAAGCATAATGGAGCTAACTCAAGTTCATCTCTCGATCCTTCGTTGAGAAAGCTTAGATAAATAGTCCTAGCAATGGCCACTTACAAGAACTAACAATGAAACCACTTAAGCTCAACTAATTAACATCCCACACTAGCTAAATCAACACATGCAAACAAGTATTTGTGAATTCATCAATGGTTTCAACCATCCCAAGTAAAACAACTACTCACAAAACATTATAAATTGCAAAGCTAAGGAATTAACAACTAAGAGCATGAATTCAAACACTAAATTAACATAAACAAGTAATTAAACTAGAAAAGATACAAAAATAAACAATTAAAGAAAAAAAATAAGAGAGAGAGTAGGAAATTCTCATTGATATTGCAAGAAATAATCAAATCTTCAAGTCTCCTTCCTTCAATTCTTCATATTCCAAGCTTTCAACAAGTTTTTCCCACTTTCTCTCTTTAGAAAATGAGAGTTTCTCTCTCTTAAAACCCTAACCTAAGCTAAAACTACACTAAGAAGTTCTTTTTTTTGTACAATCGGAGCTAAGAAGGTATTTATATTACCCCAAATAGAAAGGACGGAGAAAACGAGAAAAACGACCCGTCTACAGGTCGGCACGGACGTGCAGACTTGTTAAAATACGTGCAATAGCTACTGCCTGACCTTGCACGGACGTGCTTCATTTGGCACGGACGTGCAGGGACTTGCACGGACGTGCCACTTATTGGCACGGACGTGCAACCCTTTTCTGGCGAAATAGCTTATTTTCGGAAGGTCATAACTTCTTTGTTACTCATTGAAATAGGCATGTGACCAGTCGTTGGAAAGCTCTTGAGATGAAATTTAATCTCCAATTTGAATCACTTCAAAATGTCGAGTAGAACAAAAGTTATGGTCAGTTGAAGCTGACCCTTGTGCAAACAACCCTTCAAGGCTTTCCAAAAGCTTTTCATTTCTTTTTAAGGCACTCATCCTTCTTCCTCCATTGCTCTATCAACCAAGCTTTCCCTTCTCCTTGTTCACTCATGATTGATTACATCCATATATAGTGCTAAAAATAGCTACATTACATCAAAAATACAAACAACCCGTTATGCATGGATGGTACAAAATTTGTATAAAAATAGGATAAATGATGAACTTTGATGTCGAATAATCACGAAAACAAGGTTCAAAAGTACCCTAAAATCATACCAAATAACAAGATATCATCCAACTACCCCACTGACCTCTTATTTTATTTAAGTCAATTAAATTGCCTAAAATTATGTGCTGGATAAAGTGTAACACTTATTAAAACATGGAGGGAGTAAGTGTTTTAGGGTATGTTAGTCGGCCATATGGTGTGACCAGCCACACTGAAAACATGATATACAATCTAGTAACCATAATAAATATTTCCTGAATAAGTAACTTCGACTACTCAGTGTGACCAGCCACATAGAAAATGCACTGGTAGTTTTACATAATTTTACCATGTTATAACTACTTTATTTTTACCTTTTACATATTAGATGTCCACCATGTAATAATTTACTTAATTATAGCTTTTTGTCTCGTATAAAATACCTCTATATCCCAATTATTATGTTTAATGTCATTATATACTATTTTTTAAAAACATACCTCTAAGTTTAAGACTACTACACATTTAGACACACTCCCTCCACCATCCTTAATTTACATGAAAAATAAGAAACAAGCAATATAATATGAGATAGAGAGAGTAATAATCAACTTCAATTTAAATTTTACCAAATGACTTTTACTAAGATTGAGTAATATAATACGAGAGACCAAGAGTAAAGACTATAGTAAAAAAAATTTATATCCTTATTCATGAAATATAAATATTAAGCTTGCCCAAAGCTTTAGGGCACAAGGTACATCGATCTTAAATTTTTTGAGTTACATATATTCTCAATTACATTTTACTCGATCTCAATTATATATGTATAGGCATTTTTAATTACAAAGTTGAGCAGAGAGCATTGCATGATGCACATCTTACTCTCAAGTCTCAATTATCCGACTTAATTCACATATCCAATACTATTTTTTTTTGACACGATATATTTCAATGTTAGGAAATAATCCCTTGAGCTTCTCATTATTGGAAAGTGTTTAAATACACAAATTACAAACTAATCTAGGGAGAAGAGGTGTGAACCTCATAAATACAAAGATGGGTAAGGGGAGTGAACCTAGTAAATATACAATATATACATAGTCTAATACACCCCCGTAGTCGAAGCGGGAGGCTTGTGAACGCTAAGACTATTTCGGAAATCATCGAAGAGGAGTTGTGGAAGGCCCTTGGTGAAGATGTCCGCAATTTGATATCGAGAGGGAACATGGAGAACACGAACTTGACCAAGAGAAACTTTTTCGCGTACAAAGTGGATATCCATCTCAATGTGCTTGGTTCTTTGATGTTGAACCGGGTTGCCGGAGAGATAAACGGCACTAACATTGTCACAATACACAACCGTGGCCTTCTTGATGGGGCTATGTAACTCGAGAAGGAGGTTGCGAAGCCAACATGATTCGACAACGACATTAGCAACACCACGGTACTCGCCCTCTGCACTTGACTTGGAAATAGTAGGCTGCCGTTTGGCGGACCATGAGATCAAGTTGTCACCGAGGAACACACAATATCCCGAGGTGGAACGGCGAGTATCGGGGCAGCCACCCCAGTCAGCATCAGTGTAGGAGATTAAGCCGGAAATAGAGGAAGGATAGAGGTGCAAACCGAGAGATAAGGTGCCTTGAAGGTACCTTAAAATGCGTCGAAGAGCATGCATGTGCTCTTGTCTCGGGTCATACATATATAGACAGATTTGTTGCACCGCATAGGAGATATCCGGGCTGGTGAATGTGAGATATTGGAGGGCACCAACAAGACTACGATATAAGGACGAGTCATCAACGGGGGGGGCCGGAAGTAGAGCTCAATTTTGCTTTAGTATCAACAGGGGTGGCGGAAGACTTGCATGAAGACATATTAGCACGAGCAATGATATCTGTAGCATATGATTTTTGTGAGAGAAAGAGGCCCCCTGAATGTCGTGTGACAGAAATGCCAAGAAAAGAGCTCAATGGGCCAAGGTCGGTCATGGCGAACTCGGAGCTAAGACGAGTCATGATGGAGTGCCGGAGTTTGTCAGAAGAAGTAGTGAGGACAATGTCGTTGACATATAGGAGAATGTAAGCCAAATCCTTGCCATGAGAGTAAATAAACAAGGAATTGTCGGACTTACTATGAGAGAATCCGATGGTAGCCACAAATGAAGAAAATCGATAACACCACGCCCGAGGGGCTTGTTTGAGACCATAAAGAGCCTTTTTGAGGAGGCAAAAATGACCCGGATGATCTTTATCACGAAGACCGGGAGGTTGGTGCATGTAGACAGTTTCGGCAATATCACCATTCAAGAAAGCATTTTTAACGTCCATTTGGTGAATGGGCCAAGACTTGGAGAGAGCAATGCTTAGAACCGTGCGAATAGTTACCGGTTTGACCACCGGGCTAAAAGTCTCATCACAATCGATCCCTACCTGTTGATTCCTGCCATTAACCACAAGACGAGCTTTGTGTCTCTCAAAAACACCATTAGCATCCTTTTTATGTTTGTAAAGCCACATGCAAGGAATAAAATTAACATTAGGAGGACGGGGCACCAACTCCCACGTCTTAGTTTTAATAAGAGCATTAAATTCATCCATCATGGCATTTTTCCAATTCGGGTCGGAAAGGGCGGCAATGGGATTTTTTGGTAGAGGAGAGGGAGTGGTCTGACAATATAAGTCAAATATTGCTTTGGGTTTACGGATCCCATGAGACCCACGAGTTTGAATAGTGAGGGGTGGAGGGGGAGGCCTGCTTCGCTGGCCCAATGCAGTTGGGTCCGTAGAGGGGAGGGCATGAGAGGGGGCCTGATTGGTGGAGCCGTGAGATGGGTCAGGGGGGATAGACCCAAATTGAATTGGGAGAGGAGTGGGCCTGTTGGTGGCGTGGCCCATAGAGTGAGAGGAGTTGGGGTTTGCTGAAGACCCAGAAATAAGGGGAGAGTGAGTGATATGGGATTGGGCCGTGTGAGAGAGGGGGGTAGATTGAGCATGGGCCTGAGGTAAAGGTGTGGGGATGGGCTCATTTTGGATTTGATGGAGAATGGCGGGGGGTAAGCCATCATCAAGAAAATCATAGGCAGTAGAAGAAGGAGTGTGAATTTTAGAGAATGGAATTTGGGTTTCATCAAAAATCACATGTCGTGAGATGAAGATTTTCCGACTTGAGATGTCGTAGCATTTGTAACCACGATGGTTAGGGGGATAGCCTAAGAAAACACACGGAGTTGAGCGAGCTTGGAGTTTGTTGATGTTGGTGGAAGGTAGGAGAGGGTAACAAAGGCAACCAAAAACCCGAAGATGAGAGTATGAGGGGTCTTTTTGATATAGAATTTTGGTGGGTGAGTTATAGGCTAGAAGTTTTGTGGGAAGGATGTTGAGGAGATAAGTGGCCATTTGAAGGGCATGATGCCAAAAAGAGGGAGGCATGGATGAGTGAGCAAGAAGAGTACGGATCATATTGTTGATGGTACGGATTTTTCTCTCGGCTTTAACATTTTGAGGGGAAGTGTGAGGGCACGAGAAACGGAACACCATGCCATTAGAGAGACAAAAATTTCAGAAAGGATCATTGTCATACTCACCACCATTATCACATTGAAAACATTTAACATGACGCTCAAATTGAGTTTTGGCATAAGTATTGATTTGTAAGAATAGAGAGTGAACTTGGGATTTTCTTGCAATCGGAAAAGTCCATAAGAAATTAGTAAAATCATCCAAAAATAACACATAATAATGATGTCCCGCACTACTTAATTTAGGAGACGTCCAAATGTCACTATGCAAAATGTCAAATGGAAAAGAACTACTAGTAGTGGACGAATAAAATGGAAGTTTTACATGTTTTCCCAATACACAAGAAGAACAAACAGTAGAATTCAAAACTCTATTACATTGGATAACATTATTTTTCTTGAGAGTACTCAAAACAAGATTCCCGGGTGGCCAAGACGGTCGTGCCATAGAGAAGAGGGGAAGGCAGCAAGGGCGGTGTGAGATGAGGCTTGAGTGATGGTGGAAGTGAAAGGATATAGCTCCCCCGAGCTATCACATCTCATACGGATGGTCCCCGTCCGGAGGTCCTTCACAGAAAAACCAAACGGATCAAATTCAATAGAAACAAGGTTATCACTAGTGAATTTTCGAACGGAAATCAGATTTTTAATTAGGTTGGGGGCATGTAACACATTTTTTAAGGTGAAGGGAGGGAGGGAAGCATGACCATGACCACGAATCGGAATGCCACTACCATTACCAACAATAATATTGTGATGATTGCTCAAATTAAAATAAGACGAGAGAGTACCTTGGTTCGAAGTCATGTGAGAAGTGGCTCTGGTGTCCATGTACCAATTATCGTCGGGTGGGGCCAAGGAGAGAGTGTGCAAAGCTGCTTCAACATCAGTAGGAGCATAGCCGACGGAGGAGGGTGCTTGAGCCGTGAAAGCTTGGTGATGCTGCTGCGGCCTTGGACCAAGAATACCGTTCTGAGGAGGTCTGGGCCCATTGGTTTGTCGAGCCCATGAAGCAGTTGGATAGGGGCAGGGAGGAATAGCCCATGGTGGAGGAGCATAGGCAGCCCAAGGAGAGTACTGCCAATGTAGCGGGCTGCTCCATTGGGGAGGGTGAGAGTGCATCTGTTGATGTTGCTGTTGACCGGAACCGCGGCCACCGCGGCCCTTACCGTGGTGACCACCACCACCTGACCGTCCCTTCCCATTACCACCGCGATTGCCGCCGCGAGTATTATTATTATTGTTCTGTTTCTGATGATTGCGATGATCATGATTAATGTGAGAATCATGATGGGAGGGAGGGTTACCCGTAGCGAAGAGGGCGGAACTAGAAGCTTGGGCTTCGTGAGATGCTTGATTAGCTTGACGCGATTCCTCTAAGGTGAGCATAGACCGCGCCTTTTGAAAAGAAATGGGAGGGTCGGCTTGTTGAAGCAGAGTAGCCACATTGTCGTATGCTTTCGGGAGTCCGCAAACAAGAGTGATAACCAGACGAGGATCAGAGACTTTAGCCCCAACATTAGCGAGTTGATCCGCAAGCATCTTGATGTGTTGGCAATAAGCAGAGACATTAGGGAAATTATTCAAGTCAACTTGAGAGAATTCGGATTCGAGTTGAACCGCACGATTTGTTTGATTGTCTTGAAAGACATCTTTCAATCTCTTCCACGCTTCCGCGGCGGTGGAATCGGGTTCAAGAATTGTGTTAAGGAGATCGTTAGAGATAGAGCTATATATCCATTAGAGGACAAGTGCGTTAAGGCAACTCCAAAGCTTGGGGTCAGAGTTTGAGAGGGAAGCAGAGTCGTCAGTTTCAGAGGAAGGAAGAATGTGGTGTAGCACCTTATGGGCCCTGGCATTAATCTTGAAAAGCTCAACCCAAGAAATATATTGAGCACGATCCATCTGGAGTACAATAGGCATGACGCTTTTGATATTTATGATAGAGAAAGCAGGGTGGAAAGCGGAATTTTTAGGAGCTTTAGGGGAGAGTCACCCATGGTGAGCAGCAGTAGGCGGCTAGAGAGATAGAGAAAGGGAGGAGAGGAGAGAAGCTAGAGAGAGAAAACCTAGGCTGATACCATGTTAGGAAATAATCCCTTGAGCTTCTCATTATTGAAAAGTGTTTAAATACACAAATTACAAACTAATCTAGGGAGAAGAGGTGTGAACCTCATAAATACAAAGATGGGTAAGGGGAGTGAACCTAGTAAATATACAATATATACATAGTCTAATATTCAATTCCCTCTAAAACTCTTCAATTATCACATAAAATCACAAAATGTTCCATAACACAATTATTTCTTCTTCCTTCTTCTTCTTCTTCTTTTTTTTTTTAAAAAAAATTTTTATTTTTATTTTTTTTGAGAAAAACATAACACGATTAGATCATATTAGTTATGCTTTAATTTCAAAAAGTTCCTCCTTTACATAAGAATTTTTTAATATTAATTAATTCAAGTTAATGCTCAAGTAGAAGATAACTAGGGAAACGATAAACTCAATCCAACAAACACAAAAAGTTATAGCATCAATAATTGAGGCAAATAAACAATTTCATGTTGGATTTTCACTTAGGATGAACGTGTACGGACAAGATTAAACTGAGAAAAGTGTGAAGAATCTCTTACAAAATTTTGTGCTTAAAAAGATTTGTTAAATAATGATGAACTAAGTACACACAATCACGTAATAATACGTATTAAATTATAAAAATATGGTTTGTGCTTGCTTATGCTATTATGATGATGTGAAATCTGTATAGCACCATATAAATAAAGTAACGTATTTCTAGATAGATTAGATGATATGATTTTGACTAACTACAATAAATTAGGGTATGCAATCAAGTTTTTAGGATATTATGCTTTAATTTTTGTTGTTTAATTAGGGTACGACATAGTTTTTTTTAGGGCTATAAAAGGTATAATTAAGAGGAATTCTTTGTTTATTTTAGGGTGTGTCCTTTTATGAGGCATGTGATCCACGCACTAGACAAAAGGACAAAAGTGTATCCACTAATTTTGAGTTGTTAAGGTGTGAAATTAATTTAATTTTTTGGATTTGTTGGATTGGATTTGGTTAAGTTCTAGAGATTGATTGTTTACACACAAGGTTACTTGTTCAAAAGAATTTATATATTCTTTTCTTGTTCATTATAATTGTACCAGTATTTTTCGGACATTTTGAAACCGTATGTGAATCATAGTGCTAGAATCAAAAAATGGTTGATGAATGTATGACTCATCATGAAAATAATTCTTTTTTAAATTATAGTTTATTATTGCAATTATGATAATTGTATATTGTTACAAAGTAACATCATGTATATAACATTAAAGATTCACAGGTTCAAAATATTTAAATTGAATTCATTATATGATATGTACATCTTTCTAAAAGTGGACGACTTAGAATAACCTTATAATAAGTATATGATGAATTTCGAGTTATGATTATGAATTATGATGTAACAAATCAAGTCTATTTTTGGCTACAATCCGTCAATCCTACGTATAGGTAGTATATGCTTATGGACCAATCAAAGCATAATTGTAATAAGCAATTAATTAAACTATTAACTACACTAAATGAAACAAGGCATATGTAAAGCAAATCACTTAAGTTGATCATTTAGAATAATATACATTAAACAAGCTTAAGATTAGGAAATTAAAACTACAAACTCAAGCACCATTTGATGCCACTACTAGTGAGGTACATGTTAGTTTCTTGCAAAGTCACTTACATGGCAAGAAACTTCACGTACCATTCATTGGCCTAAGCTAGCTAATTAGGCTATTATATTTAACATTTGATTTTTAACAATCCGTGAGGCTTTCGTCTAATGACTAAATCTCAAACCACAATTATGATGCATGCAATAATGGACAAACAATAAAAATGCTTAAAGGTATATGTGTATTTGGGAAATCATTCACGGTAACTATGTACTGTTAGACGTTTTTTAATATCACCCGACTAATTTACCCTTTTTTAAAATAACACTGATGAACTCGAAAATTAAAATTTCATTAGCCTAAATTTTGAAATATTTCATGAAATGTAAAAATAGGTCAATAAAATAGAAATTTTCGAGTTCATCAAAAGTATTTTTTAAACTTGTCAAATAATTAAGTCAAGGTTATTTTTGAAAACGGCCTATAGTACATATTTACCATGATTAATCATCCCAAGTTGTAGATTTTTTTTTTTTGGATGTGAAATTGTAGGTTGCTCAAAATGAACCCCAATTATTCCCTTGGAAATCATCTAAGTTCCACAAGGCAGCATCCCAGCAAAGAAGATCAACGTTAGAAGCTTCACAAGAAATAGTATTATCACTATAACAACCCCAATTATTCCCTTGTTCTTCAGTATATGTTGGATAAATGTTAGCACCCATCTCAGCTTGTCGAGCTTGCTGTACTAGACTAGTACTCGTCGTTGTATTGTTTGTTACCTTATTGCTATCACTATCCTCAAGAAGGATAGACATGATCTTTTTCATGTCCATCGCCGTAAACTGTTGCTGTTGCTGCTGCTGCTGTTGCTGCTGTTGCTGAAACTGCTGTTTCCGTAACAAGCGAGTTTTCGATTTTTCGAGGTTGTTTGGTGAAGCCTTGTCCTTCTTCTTGAAATGTGTCCTCCAGTAGTTCTTGATCTCATTATCTGTTCTTCCAGGCAAGCTTCGCGCAATGGTGGACCACCTAGTAGTACAAGTACGAGTACGTGCAATTAGTTAATTGGATGTTAATTCCTTTTATTAGTAGGTGTGATCGATTGTAAATCTTGTAATAATTAATGTTGTTAGTGGAAATAATGCAAAGAAAAATCTAGCTTAATTAAGGTTAAAAAATTACCTGTTGCCCCACCTAGCATGGAGCTCTAGGATGATGCTTTCTTCGTGTGGAGTGATTTGCCCTCGTTTAAGGTCGGGTCTTAAATAGTTAACCCACCTTAATCTACAGCTTTTACCATTCCTTCTCAATCCTATTTTGGACAAGAAAAATAAAACGTTGTTAATTTAAGTACAAAACACGTATGTTTTTCTTTGTAATGAATGAGCCACGAGAACATTACAAATTACAAATAGTGGAAAGGAATATAAAGGTGTGACCTATTGTATACGGATCGACCACCAGTGTTTGCCACTATGTTAGATCAAGATGTTATTGACCAATATACAATTTGATTGGTGTTAAGCGATAGATTAATATTATCAAGAAATGTATCACTAACTAATTATGATATGATAAACTTTGGATCATGAAGATAAAAAGTGTGCATGCGTCATGCACATGTGTTGAGATAAAGAGTAATGCACGTATAATGTAAACAAAATGCGTGACATTTAATGGGAAGAACTATGCTTAGACAACATGATAGCTTTGGCCAATTAAGATGGTCTCATGTGAATATTGTGGCATATGCTGATTATGGACTTTGAGTTTAAATTGAACTAGCTAAAAAATGTCTTATCAGTTATGACATTGACCAAGGTAATAATTAATTAATAGGTCATTAATTGTATACACCTAATGATTTGAATGATACATGGCAAGTCATTATATTCTAAGTCTTAACGCAAGGATATTAGCTAGATTAAAACTCCTAAATATTTGAATGACACATTGATCGAGTCATTAAATTCTCTCAATACAAGGATATAAATTAGATCAGAACGCTAAGGTTGTGTGCACAATAATTAAGGTGGTAATCTAGGAGCTAAGTCTTAAACCCGAGACTAAATGAACAAGTACCACTCGAACTAGAGGAGTAGTGCCTCAATCAAGGGTATGGAGTGATCGAGTAAATTGAGGGAAACAAGAACATCAAACACATACAATTAGCTAGGACTATACTTAAAATATGAGTGAAACAAGTAGTACCTGCAAGTCTAGCAACAGAATTCCATCTTCCTTCACCATGGAGCTTAACATATTCAATAAGCAACCTATCTTCTTCGGCGGTCCATGGCCCTTTTCGCCACCCGCCATCTCCCAACATTCCCCAGCTCATCCCCATATGTGCTCCCATCACTCCCCTACAAGACATCTTACAAGACTAGCAAACAAAAAAAAAACCCCAACAAAATTTTTTGAGTGAAAACAAAAAATATTTCTAGCTCTTGTTGCTTACTTACGTAAGCTTTTGGCTCCTAAATTCTCTTGCACATTTATGCTACTGCTTGCTGCATATTTATACCCCTTCAATAATATACCTCATTTTATTATGCCCTACTTAAAAAAAATGACCCTTAATATTTGTCACTTTCATGAGTCTTTAAGAAAAATTAGATTTTTATCCCACTATATACTAACATCATGTCAAGTTAAATTACCAAAATACCCATTACCTTTTAGCTTAATGGATGAGATCTTCTCTTCTTCTTTTAGACCCTTTTAAGCTAAGCTCTCTTTAATAATGTCAATAGACAATAGTTAATGCAAGAGCATAGATTATATTCACTATCATTTTCAATCTCAAAGTAATTAAATTAACCTATTACATTAACTATTTATGTAACTGTATCCTTTTACTAAAGTTTAATCTTTTGTCTACTATAAGCTTCATTTTAAAATGTTTATATACATGCATAAAGGGTCGATTTTCACCCTAATTTGTTGTTATACATTATTCTAAAAGATGTCTTTTATATGTACAAACTATAAGATGACGAATAAAAATCATTTTCTAAGTATTCTATATTCTATTAGTCCAAGAATCTAAGTCTTGAGATCAAAATTCGAGCATATATATGATTGAGAAAGAAAACTATAATATATATATACTTGTAGTTTGTACTTATATAGAATATTTTTCCATGGTTGGTACAAAGGTTGTTCGAAAATTGTGTGTTTAAATATAAATATACTGTAACATTTTCTTAAATAGGCAATTTTACAAAACTTATCAAATTTTGTAAGAGGATGTATGATTACAGTGGTAAACGTAATATTCTCTCCTATCCGAAATTTGTTTATGCATTGTTTATCCTAAATTGATTTGAGTTAGCTTAGCATAAATTGTAAACATAAAAATTTGTGAAGAAAAAGAAATACTGAACTTAAATGGTAAACATAAATTGTAAACATAAACAGATGGTGAATGATATAAGATTTTCTTAATCCTCGTTAGTTATAACTTTATGCCCTGTTTACTTCACCTTATTTTTTCCGAATCAAAATAATTTTTACTGAACTTAAATAATTTTTGCTAAATTTAAATTAATTTTCTAAAATAAAATAATTTTTGCTAAACATAAATTAATTATACTGAACTATAATATTTTAATGATTTCCTATTATATATATTTTTTTGAAATCACTGATTGTTATTGAACTGAAATTAGTTTTATTGAACTGAACTTATTTATATTGAAATGAAATTATTTTTACTGAATTTAATTTTTGTAAAGTGAAGTGAACAAGGCCTTAATTAACACTTACCAAACAGACTAAATATAGATTTTTGACAGATGAAGTAATGCTTACTTATCATGAGGAATTTTTCAATCAAATTGTCAAATTGAAACACATGAAGCACTTTACTTATCTACTTCGATTAAAAATAAATAAAAATCATGACAAAAATTTGGAATTGGAGGACAGCTTTTAGAGTTAAGGATCAATAAGAATATAAGGTTAAGAAGTAATTATGATGCTAAACAAGGTTAAGGAATGGATAAACAATATATAATTTGATGGTTAAAAAGCCACGTATAGCTCTAGATGTAGGGTCTTAGTATGCAAAACAATCCAGGTACAAAGAATTAATAGCTATAAAGCACTGCCTGAAAATAATTAATTAAAGAATTGCTAAGGAATAAAATATTTTTGGGTGATATACCATTCTAAAGCTATAATAACTACTACATATCCAATTAAAATTCACCATCTGTTGCTACTTTCTTCTTATATCAAACCACTACCATTTTAAGGTGATTTAGTCACGCTCAACTTATATATCAAATCTTTAATAAATTAATTAATGGATATTATTAATTTATTTATTTTTATAATTTTGGAGTCATTAACAAACGTGAGTCGAACCTTCATCATAAGGTGACTGTATACAATAAAAGATAGAAGATTTAGAATAATAAGTACTTTTTAGGGCGTCAGTCTATATTTAATTTATTTACTCGTATTTAAAGAGTGTAGTGATAAGGGTTTGACCTCATGACTTGAAAATTAAGCAGTTAAATTTAACTTTGAAGCTCTATAAAAGTAGGAATTCCCTTATCATTTTCCGATCCTTTTATCCCACTTTTAATGAGTCTGATGTATAAAGCTGGATCAACTTGTGAGAAGTAGTGTAGGTTCAATAGGGCTTCCATAGTTCCATCTTCAATTCTTACTTGAAAAATGAAAGAATTTAATACGTCATCATGATCAAATAGGTGGTTCGTGTATATGTTGAATTGTCCCTGAAAAAAAGAACTTTCATCAGTGAAGGATCAGTAGTGGATGCTTCGTTCTACCAACTTTAAGGACTCAAATGTTTAGTTTTTTTATAAAAAATATTGATGACTCAAATTGCAACTTGCAAACAACTTAACAGGTGTCCAACAGTATTGCCAAAACTCCTAAGATATTTTTTAAATTTGTTAGAAGCTACGAAGCAGCCGATACATTATTTAGATGTCTCCAAAATGAGTTGAAGATTGCCGTGTCCTAAAAACAACACTATTAGTGACGAGTTTTCTTTAACTTGGTGTTAATAGAGAAATGTTAGAATTTAGATGCTACTAGCCTACTAGGCGTTCCTTTTCCTTTTTCTTCCAACTAGTTGGGTCTCTGCGTGCTACACACGCATCAACCAACTGTAATCATTAATAAAAACTTCAACTATACAATTAAATATTTAAATTTTATTAATTAAAAAATGTAATGTAAAAATCTAATATGCATTAAAAAGTATTTATTAATATCTTTTCTAATTATTAAGGTTAATAAGTACATGCATGCACAATAAAAGTATTACTCCCTCCGTGCCCGAAAGAACGATTCTTTTGGGTTGATTTCGCGGGTATTAATAAAGTCAAATAAAAAGAAGTAAAAGTATATTGGAAAGATAAATTTACATGGAGTTTATAAAAAAGTAGAGAGAGATAGTAATAAAAGTACATGGAAAAACAAAATTTTATATAGGGAAGATAATTTTGCACAAATATTGTTGCAAATTGGTGGGTATCTTAAATTCTTAATGGTAATGGCTCATATTTGGGACTAAAATTATGCCAAATAGGTCGTTCTTCCGGGAACGGAGGGAGTAAAAGAGAATGAATAGTACGTGTTATTATGGATCATTTTTACCAAAACTAATAGAAATTTAATCATATTAATCGACAACCAAGCTATATCAAAAGAAGAAAAAAAATTGCTGTTTGACATAAATCCTACAAATAATTAAGTTAGATTGGATTAAAAAAATCGTTTTAAACTGAAAGTTTATATGATGTATTGTGAATTATAACATTAATAATTAATTAATAAATAAAAATAATTGCTTGGATGCAGAGGCTTAAAATAACATGTGGTACAAAGAAAGAACCTAAATATGAAATGAATAAAATATTTATTACGCATTATCTTCCTTAAAAATAAAAAGTTTGTTTTAATTATATTTTGGGTCACCTTTTAAAAAAAAAAATACTTAAGTTGACTACGGTCTATATCCATACATTTTAAAAAGCTTAAGAATATTTAGATTATACCTTCTAAAATGTTTATGTAATTCTCTGCCCTCATTAATGATAAATGTATTTTTTTAACTTTTAAGAATAATGTGCGGATATTAATACCTCTAAAGGGTTGTTTGGTTACGTTGAAATTCTAGGAATGGGTTGGAATGGATTTAGATTCCATTCTATGATTTTATTTGTTTGGTTGGGTTATTTAAGTATGGAATGAATCTCATACCTGGGGGATTCTAACTCTACCCCATTCCCTTGAAATCTCATACTCACCTCTCCTCCAAGGATTCATAATCCATACTATCACTCAAGTATGATAATCAATTCCATGATTAAACCAAAATAACTTTAGATTGGTAAGGGATATAAAATCCATACCACTCAATGACTCAAGTAGGATAATCTATACCAATCCATTCCAGCTTAGTGAATCAAACGATCCTTAAAAAATATTTGTTTATATATTGTCCCTAATTATTTATGATGCCAATAACTTAAGTTAAGACAAAAGCCAATCCCAAATTGTTTTTCGAATATGACTAATTGTATAGGGCGTGTGTCAGCTGCCCTATTATAATATAAAATTATTTTTAAAAAGTCACGGCGACCTATATCTATCATCTTCTACTCTTTATCATACACTCATTTAACCTTTTTGTGATAAATGCATTTGAATATTTAAAAAATAGTCATGCGTATTCTTATTTGTTTTACCCTTTTTTATTATCATGTAATTAAATTGAAGGTATTAATGATATAATATAACAACCTTGCAATAGGTTTATAATGGGTACAATATATTTTAAAATAATAACTTCCACAAATTCTTGAATACGACTAACTTTCATTATATTAAGTTATTGAAAGACAGATTAGAGTTATCCTAAAAGTTTTTAAAGTTACGCTTTTTATATAATATTAAATTTACTACTCGTATATTTAACAAAAATTTTACCCTTTAAAACACTAAAAAAATAATGTATTAGTTTAATCTTATTTGCCTTATAACTAACATGCATCCATTTGAATACACATTAAAATATAATCAAAATCATTACAAATTAAAAGTTACCCTTAAAATAAATGGGAAAGTTACCCAAAAAAATTGTTGAAGTCACTATAATATTGAATGTCATTCAATAAAATTAGCAATAGTCCGCCTTAATTATACAAGACATATTAGAAGAAGGCGGACTCAATTATATGGAGCATTACTCTATCAATTAACCATATAAAAAATACAATCCTATAATATATACTGTATAACATTCACAATTCTATCTACTTACAAATTCACAAGGGCTAACAATTAAATTTAGTTTTCCCTATAAAAAAAAAAAAAAGAAAAAGAAAAAGTTGTACAAGTATGTATCATGCTTCATGCATTATCTACATTAATTTTTTTTGAAGAGGTTTTCTTTGATTTATTTGTTTAGCCACAATAGAGTACTTGTTGGAATCGTTTCAATGAGTATCAATCAATCAATAACTATATACTAAAAGATACATCAGTAATGACACGTGTCAATTTCTGGTGTATCCTTTTTTTTTTATGAAAAAAAAAATCTTTTATAAACTTTTAAATCTTAGGAAATTATTATATACAATAATAATTGTTGTAGT